TTGAGCCTCACATTGATTCTTAGAGAAGAGAAATTTTCTTCCCATTTTGCAACTAGGCAAAGTAAGTAGAGAATGAGTTAAGTAGTAGAAAATCCAGCACTGGCAGTCAAACACCAGAGAATCTGCCCCAGTAATTTTTAATGGTTTCCAGATTACAAACCACTTTCTTCACAGTTGCTGGCAAATAACCCCCAGCAGCTCTCCACAATCTGGCTAACCATTTTATTGTGTTTCCCAACAACCATATTTTAAGCTGTTGAGATCCTCAATCCTTCCACTCCTGTCTTTGAGATTGTAGTAATATCAAGGGTCCTAGAGGCTTCCAAGTTATCCTACCTGAAACCATCCTCTGCTTTCTAAATCCCTTACTGTCTTCCAGGTAGATTCAAAGTCCTTCTTTGAAAGGGCTTATTGTGGCAAAGTTATTTGTAGGGTATTGCTTCCACCTTTGCTCTTTGAATGTCTAATGTACTTGTAATAACTACCTCATGAGGCAGAGTTTAATTCTTCTTTAATTTTGCCTTTGTCATCCTCAAGTCAACTATAAACTCCTTAAATCAGTGGTGATGTGCATTTCTCACATAACCTCCCATAATTTCTTAGTATAGCAGTTAGCAGTCTGTGAATCCAGCCATTAATAGCTAAGTTTTTGCAATCTGGGTTGTTAAACCTCTATGATTCTCCTTGTAATACACCAATCTTGCCAGTTAAAAAACCAAACGGATACTATAGATTTGGTCAAGAACTTTGATCTTTCAATGAGGCTGTCATTCCTATACATGCTATAGTGCCCAATCCCTATATGCTGTTAGCCTGGGTCCCATCCCTAGGGATGCTAATTAGTTTACAGTCTTAGATCTTAAAGATGTTTTTGTTTGTTTGTTTGCTTGTTTGTTTGTTTGTTTTGCATTGCAGTACTCCCTGATTCACAATTCATCTTCGCTTTTGAATGGACTGATCCTGACAGTCATTTGATTTATCAATGAACTTGGACAGTTCTTCCCCAGGTATTTAGGGGCAGCCCTTATCTGTCTGGAAATGCATTGGCTAGAGAATTAAGGATGTTACACTTAAATAAGGGCATCATTATCCAATATGTGCATAATATGTTGGTTGCTAGTCCAACCAAAGGAAACTTGGACGAAAATACCTTTAAGTTGCTAAATTTTCTGTGAGCTAATGGGTATAGCGTCTTACAGCATAGGGCCCAGATTTCAACTCAAGAGGCTAAATACTTAGGATATTTCCTAACCCCTGGCACCCAGGCAATAGTACCAGAACAAAAGGAAGCTATCTTGGGCATTCCACAACCCCAAACTAGAAAGCAGCTGCGGGCTTTTCTAGGGGTGTCAGCATTGGAGTGAATAGTCAAGCCTTTATATGATGCCCTGAAAGGAGTGAATGTAGATTCTTTAGAATGGAATAACAATTGTAAACAAGTTTTTAATGCTTTCAAGGAAAAATTGGGATCAGCTCCAGTCCTAGGGATCCCTAAACTTGATAAGCCATTTTTCCTTTAAGTGGCTAAGAAACAAGGAACCACCCTGGGTGTCCTTATCCAGAAACTGGGAGATATCTGAGAAACAGTGATATATTTTTTTAAAACAATTAGACCATGTCATTTCAGGATGACCTGAATGCCTTAGGGTAGTTGCAGCAACTGCTCTTTTAGGAGTCAATAAAATGGCTTTAGGATAACACCTGGTGGTTTTAACCCCACACCAAGTGCAAGGAGTCCTAGAAACTAAAGGACATCAGTAGATGAAAGGAAATACTTATTTAAATATCAGGCTTTGTTGCTAAACATTCCTCATGTAACCCTTAAGATATGCCAGACTTTAAATCCAGCTACCTATCTGCCTGAACCCACTGGCACCCTATATCATTCTTGTATACAAGTAATGGAGCAAGTTTATTCCTACTGGCTGGATTTAAAGGATGAGCCCCTAGATAATCCTGAAGTAGAATGTTTTATAGATGGAAGTAGCTTTGTGCTCGAGGGACACAGAAAAGCTGGGTATGCCGTTGTCAATCAACACAAAGTAATTAAGTCTCAGGCCTTACCAACTTCTACCTCAGCTCAAAAGGCAGCATTAATAGCTCTTGCTAATAGCCCTGCAATTATTAATAGCTCATATTAATAGCCCTGCAATTGGGAAATGACTTAATAATTAATATTTGTACTGTTTCTATGTATGCCATTCTGGTGCTTCATGCTCGTGGAAGGAATGGGGACTCCTAACTGCTAGGGGTTCCCCTATGAAACATCACTTAAGCATTTTAAATCTATTAGATGCTGTTTTGCTGACCAAGGAAGTAGCTATAATCCATTGCAGAGGGCATCAAAAAGGAGACTCTAGTGTGGCTAAGGGAAACTCCTTTGCAGATGCAGGAGCTAAGGCGGCTGCATTAAAGCAGCCAGTTGGACTTGTAGGCATGTTAGTGCCCTCTGTCCTGGTAATGACAGAACCAAGCTATACTAAAGAGGAATAAGAATGGGCTAAGGTCAGGGTTTAATTCAAGATCCTTCTGGCTGACTTATCAATGACAACAAATTATTGATGCCAGGTGCTAATCAGTGGAAAATAGTTAAGCATTTGCATGACTCTACTCATTTGGGAAGAGATTCCTTGTTTCGATTAATGTCTCTCTCTCTCTTTTTTTTGATTTTTTTTTTTTTTTTTGACAGAGTTTCATTCTTGTTGCCCAGGCTGTAGTGCAATGGCACAATCTTGGCTCACCACAACCTCCACCTCCCGAGTTCAAGTTATTCTCCTCCCTCAGCCTCCCAAGTAGCTGGGATTACAGGCATGTGCCACCACATCTGGCTAATTTTGTGTTTTTAGTAGAGACAGGATTTCTCTGTGTTGGTCAGGCTGGTCTCAAACTCCTGACCTCAGGTGATCCATGTGCCTCACTCTCCCAAAGTGCTAGGATTACAGGCATGAACCACCGTGCCCAGCCAATGTCTCATCTTTTTTATAGGAAAAGGCTTACTTACTTAGAACAGTAAAGCAGGTAACTCAGTCCTGTGAACTCTGTGCCCGGAATAATCCAAATAACCAGTCTTTTCCTTCTCCTTTAGTAAGGCCTGTTCAGCATAGCGGAATGTATGCCAGTGAAGATTGACTAGTAGATTATGCTCAGATGTCCCCATGCAAAGGGTTTAAATATTTATTAGTATTCAGCAGTCCTTTACTGGTTGGACTGAGGCTTTTCCTACCTGGTCTGAAAATACAAGATTTCTCACCTCCTATGAAAGGCAATAGTTCCTAGATTTAGGCTGCCTAAGAGCTTGCGAAACAATAATGGCCTATCTTTCAGAGTGACAATTACCCAAAACGTATCTTCAGCCCTAGGAATTAAGTACCTCCTTCATTTAGTATGGATGCCACAGTGTTCAGAAAAAGTAGAAAGAGCTAATCAAACTCTAAAAAGTACTATGCCAGGAAACATCAGAAACCTGACTATCTATATTGCCTGTAGCCTTGTTATGGGTTCAAGCTGTTCTCAAGAGAAATCTATAGTGCAACACTTTTGAAACGACATGTGGAAGGCCTTTCTTAACTACAGACTTCCTGTTAGACATGGATACCTTCAAGTACAAAACTTTGTAATCAACTTAGGACAAATGCAAAAGGCGCTCCTTGAATATGGAAATCAAAGACTCCCTTCCCCTACTAGGGAAGATAATATTGTTAAAACCCAGCCAGGAGACTGGGTCCTATTAAAAACTTGGAAGGAAGGATCCCCAACAGATCAACTTTCCTCCTAAATGAAAGGGATCCTATCAAGTTCTCCTTAGTATCCCAACTACAGTTAAACTTCTAGGAATGAACAGCTGGGTTCACTTATCTCGAATGAAACTTGTCTCTTATAAGGTCCCACAGGCCAACGGAACAAAAAAGACTGATCCCACTTATTCCTGTGGATCAACCCATGACCTCCAGCTCCTGTTCAGAAACAAAAGGGATGGGTAACATAAAGATATGGATTGGCATTCTAGTTTTGGGTATAAGCTGGAATCACACAAAGATTAACTTCTTTGCTAAGTGGGCAGACTGTAGCCTCTCTACATAATCCAACAAACTGTTGGGTATGTAGAGAATTGTCATTTTCCTTCACTTCCA